TTACAAGGTTTGTAAGGAGAGTATTGTACGCATGTTATTATAATGATATTTATGCGAACATATATATAAAGCAACCTTGACCCAACCCAGCTTGTGTAGTCAGCTATAGTTTTTCTTTACACACACCAGTCCACCCCATGGGTCCAGACATCCAGGAAGCAGAAATCACGATTTGCCTGACGTAGAAGACACAATTATAGGCCCGTGACTTAGAAAGACATGATCTAGCCATTTAGGGCTCACCCAGAAAGAGTAATCACAGACATCACAAGGCCTACGTAGTAAATGGCTACTCCGAACCCAAAATGATCCAACCAGAGTACCCATTCATGTAGCGTCTTCAACATGTTCCCAGAGAGGTCATTCTCTCAGAAGGGTGCAGAACCAAACTAAAGACAACTTCCGGTTTTCACACGTTAATCTATTTGCCCAGTGTAGGAAAAACAGCAGAACGATTTTTAGAATCCACCGGTATTTGCTTTAAGTCCTCGCTCTTGTTGGTTCTAACTAGAATCATTCATTGAGTAAAACAACGTAAATATATATCCTCCTGCTTCCTCTAAAAAAACACAATTGCTGATTCTGTCCTCAGCAAGTCTTCCAAGTGAATTCTCAAGGTTTGTACCAGGCACTGATTCTTTTCTTTTTCACACCCCAGCACAAAAGCGGAAACCACCCTTTACAAAGTTTTGCATGAACACTCACAAGAGGGACAGCTGCATATTCCTCATCATGGTTCATGAATTTGGTGGCCTAAAGTGAAACTACATAAGGAGTCCTACATAAAAGGCCCTTTGAACTCTGTCTATTTCTCTGGGAGAAGAAGAAAAAAGCTGCCAAAGTAAACAAACATACCTCCCTTGAATAAATTAGATATGGCTATTCACCTCAAGGTAACCATGAAGTGGAGCTGAAAGAAAATAAGATGCCATATTGTTCAGTGCTGATACTGGGACAGTGCCAGTGTTTAATGAGCCCCTAGCCAAGCTGGAAATTGAAAATAAAACATCTGAACATGGCATTTTGTTGGGAACAATGACATCAAATGCAGCAACTCCTCTAGGACTGTCTAGCTCAGAGCCACTCCACCCACCTGAAACTGGGACCCTTATCTGGACCTGACCCACAGTTAATCCCTTGACATCTCACCCCTATCCAGGCACTTGGTTAAACTGTCCTGGTCACCGTCTCAATTAATTAACTGATTAACTAATTGATATTTATTCTCAATTAATTAATCCCCCCATGGCTCAGGATTTCAATAATTCCTTGCACAGAAATAGGAGAAAGCACAATCAGTTTCCATGTTTGCGAAGCAGAGAGTTTACTTGGACTGAAAAGTCTTTTCCAAGTCCTATTGTTCTCCAATCCTCATGAACCCCAAAGATATGTAAAATAACGTGCCTGACATCTGCAAGCAAAACCTGAATATGAGAAAATTACACCCGGCCCTTGAGCAAGCAGGGCTAACATGCCCAAGGTGATGCTAAGTGCTTGGGGTCCATCCCCTCGTCTACTCCTCTTGGTGAGGCAGGTTGCATCACTGTGCCTGTTCCACGGATGCAGAACCAATGAATTAGGGAGGACAACCCAGCTGGCAAGGTCACACTCACAGTCCACGGGCTCACTCCTACCCACCCCTGCCTTATGAATCACCGGACACACAAGTACTGATGGGAAGTTATGATCGCTGACAATGCTAATATTATTATGTAAAATTCATCTCCACCAGACAGGGGACACAGAGTGAATCTCAAGTTAATAATGTGGATTTTTTTGTTTTAGAAAAGTCATGGCCAAGTCCACATCTTTTCAGATTACATGGTGGCCATTACTGTTTCTCTTGGTGTTAAGTTTGTGTCCCCAACACCTACTATACTCCCTGGTAGTTAATAACTAATAATGGTCTTAATAAGTGTGATACTAAAATATTACCCTTTAGGACTGGCATTAATTACTACAGGCTATGGAAGGGCAGACAGTCAGCATCAGCCTCAATTCTATGCTGGGGAGGACTGTTGCTTAACAAAAATTGGCCACATGCTGGGGTTTCATAGCCATCCCATGGTCACACAGGGGCAAGGAAATTCAAGTAGGGAGATCAACCCAAGCCAATGAGACAGCAGGTGCAGAGGCCTCACACGGCAGGTTTGGGAGGCTGCTTGCATGCAATTCCACACCACTGAGACACAGTGCTGTGTTTTAGGAGGGGAGTGGGGGTGGGGAGGAGAGGAGGCCAGAGGGTAGACAGCGTCCATCTTGTGGGTCAAGCTGCAGGCACTGAGCTGTCTCTTGGAGCCATCATGTCTTTTGGAATAATGGAAAGAAGCCCACACAGGTAGGCATTTTGGAACTATCATGCCTCTTCTAACAATTTCTTTAGCAAATATAATGTCACAAGTTAGTGGTAAAAAACTGAAACTCAGGAGGTTAGAAATGTCCTCAGTTCAGTGTAGATAAACCCCTGGCAGGGCATGCATGAATCCATTGGCGAGTTTGGTGCAGAAGCAGGTGTGATTTTTCCTTGGGCAGGTGGATGATGGACAAAGTTGGGCCTAATGCTGCTAGGCCTCAGTCTTGGACAATTTAGGGGCAGTCTTTATGAAAAATACCACAATGTTGCCAATGCCAAGCTAGGCACAAAAGTTATATTTATTGAGAACAAGAAAATAAATCATGGCCTGTTAGAAATTCTGCAGTGTTGATAAATACCACAAACATCACACAATCCAGAGAAGTAACATGAGTCATAGCGCAATCAGCTCACCAAAAACAAATCTGCAGGGCCGGCCGAGTAGCACGTTGGTTAAGAGTGGGCTTGGGACACCAGCTCTGAGCAGCAGGGCCCCAGTTCGGATCCCACATGAGGGCCAGTGACACTGCCCTCTACAGCTAAGATGGTAAACAACAGCTCGACCTGGAGCTGGGATGCCGTGAGTCGCTCTGTAACGGCATAGGCTGCAGCCCCTGCTGCAGTGGGCTGCCATAAGCTACCATGTGTGGCCAGCAGTCAGCGTGAGCAGCCGGCAGCTGGTGTGAGCTGCCAAGATCCCTGTGAGTGGCCATCCAGAGGCCGGCAACCGATCTGCCTCATCCAAGAAGAGCACCATGATAATAGTAACATGGGACAGTGAAGCGACGTCCTCCAAAACTAGACTGAAGAACAAAAAGGACAACTCATCTGTTCCCCTTCCCCCGATTCCCCAATAAAATCTTAAAAAAAAAAAAAATCTGCAGTCAGCAAAGTCACGGTTACTGGCTCCTTGCACAAAGGGAATAAAATCGCATACCAGAGGGACCCAGAAAACTTGCCAAAGAAAAGAGAGTATTCCAGGCTTAGGGAGGAATTGGAAGCAGTATTTTGAGGATTCAGAGCAAAGCGGAGCTACATGTGAAAAAGTCAATGTTAAATCTGGACTGCAAGGTGAACCCAGGCCCCATCTCCTGAGAAACCTTAAAGTGCAGCCAGATCCATGGGCATTGTGTCCAGAACCCTGCTGGAAGTCCTGCCCTCTGTGTGCCCATTGCTTCTCTGGGTCCAGGCTCACTGCTCCTTGAGCAGTGAGACATTTGTTTCTCACTAATGAACAATGTTTCTGTGAGCCCATGAACCTAGAGGACAAGGTCTTTCACAGAGTGAGGAGCAGTAGTTAGTCAAAGAAGATGTTGTTTTGACATTTTAAAGCTGCAGATGGAAGAATTATTGTTTCCTGTTGATATTGCAACTGGCTTTGTACTCATCTGTTCACCCATCCTGTGGATGAAAGGGCAGAGTTTTCCTTCTTTAAGCCATGCTTTTATTTTCTCACATTGACACAACTCTGGAATAGTTTTTCCTTATGTTTTCATCCACAGCTAACGAATGACTTGGATTGCCTCATCATGTGACATTGATTTTATAACATCATATTCTATAAACATAATGGAAATAAATATAAGCCAGTCTTTCCACTAACAGGCTTGATCACTTAAAAAAAAAGTTGGTATATAATTTTCTCTTTCTGCTTCAAAACTCACAATTAGCGATATATAAATTTTTCAAATTATTGTCAAATTTGGGTAAGTCTCTGTCACTTTGCCGTCATATGCGAGCTCTAAGATTTTAGTATTTCTTTATTTTTTTATTGAAGTTTGATAAATCTTAAAGACTCTTTTTATTGGCAACGCTCATTACACACAGAATTTAAATTGTCCCTATGTTGTCTTGAGCTTCAAATTTGTGTGGTCATATAATTTTATATTACATTGATTAGCTTATTGAATCTGCATAAAGATTTTTGTACTGAAACGAGTATTTCTTCAGGATGTCTTACTGTCCAGGTCACAATTCTACGTCTGTCATCTCTGGACCCATCAGGCTTCATCAGCTAAAGGGGATGTGAGAGGACAGACCCCGTACATCGGATCTATGCCACTCCACATACATATGTCCTTGCTGTGAGTAGTTACGCTGTATGTGCAGGTGTGTGCCCTACAAATGGGGAAGGTGAGAAATACTATTTCATCCAATTCCCATCAAATATAAAAAGAAATGCAAGGTGCATGAGATACCACATTAGTGAGTATATTTCCAATAGTAGAAAACGTCCATTTTTGACTAAGCATCAAACAACACCAAATCTTCCATTCATAATTTTACATGTATTATGATGGAAATAATTTCCAAAACCAACTTATAGTTTCACATATTTCAAACCTTGTTTCCTCTCTTCTAATCACATACTTCCAATGTGAGTTGCTATAGGACACTTCCTGATCAAGACCCATTTTCTTACCCTGCTCCTTTGGGTTAAAACCCAAATATAATATGATAATAATATGAACAGACTCCACTATTTTGAAAGCATGGGGTGGGCAATAGGGACATGCAGAAGAATGCGTATCACCAGCAACAATAGTGGGAAGATACCTGAGGAAAAAGTAAGGGTAAGAGAAAACATGTAAAAGAAAAGTTGAGAGGTATCAGGACCTGGAGAAAGGCTTTTTTTTTTCATTTTCAATAAAATTTTATGTGTATTCATATAAAACAATGAAACAGCACCAAGGACATCTGTAAAATTTCATCATACAGTACTGCATGTGGTTATAGAAAAACTTTAAAACTTGTCATTAGAAACTAGGTGGAGTTTCTTCAAAGTATCAAAGATACTTCAGATATTCAAATCCACACAAGCTATCTCCTGCGTTGCACAGTTTAAGATGAAGACCCCTCTCATAATGTTGAAGATGTGATGCAATCTGTACTTGAATTGGCATTGTACTTCCTCAGACTTAGGCTGCCTTCATCACAAGTATTTTCTATCCCTGAGAGATCAGCTACGTCAAGATGGTTCATCAGCTAAATCTCGTTGGTCAAAATACCTGCTAACCAAGCAGATTAATAAATTCAAAGCAGGAACCCTCTCATCATCTTTGTTGTCCACTAAGAGCCTCACTTCAGAGCACCTTCTTGCAAGCTGCCGAATCAGTGAGTGAGCCTCAGGTAATAAAGGTTTTTCAAGACAAGCCAATAAAGCATAAAGCCATCTCCCCAATTCTGGAGTAAAGTCTCTTTCTCTAAACCAATTACTCAGATATTCCAAGACACTGGTTACTGTTGCCTGATTCATTCTGCTAACAATACTAAGCAAGGGAGGAAAACCAATTTGTATATAATCTATTCCAGGACTTTCGTTTTTAGCTGGTCCAACAGCCCCTTCAACACATAGCCTTTCACCCAGACAAAATTTTTTCCAGCCTTCTTCATCTTCAGATTTTGGATACATACCATGGTCACGTTACTATCCAGCTGTTGTGATTTCCAGTGACTTCTATGTCTGTTCACACTCTGTCGAATAATTGAAAACTGTGCCACTTGCTGCTGTTGCCACTGAAGTGTGGGGGAATATCCTTCAGGAGCAGGTTGGCATCCTGAAAGGGAAACATTCACACTTTGCTTCCTTTTCAACTTCTTTGGGTCAATTTGAGCTACCACAACATCTGGACATTGAGCTGCTTCGATCTGGACCCGCTTCAAGTATTCCTGAGGCGTCCTCGGGGGTGCGGAGGGATCAAAACTTTCTGTCAAGTCGCAGGGATCCACTGGCAACAGCCGGGGCATCAACTCTTCCACTGCAGACTCCGACGGTACCCACGCCATAGTTTCCAATCCAGTCAGTCCCCGAGAAAGGCTTTTAAATGCATCCAGAAGAAACCCCTTCCATCTTATTGGCCAGACCTTTGTCACATGACCAACACCTAAACTAACCACTGTTAGGAACTGACATCATAGATATTATCAACGACACTCAATAAAACCAATGGGTAAGGACTGCAGCAACACCAAAAATGATGTCATCATTGGGGACTGGTTCAATGAATCATCATGCACAAATATGACGGAACAGTACACAGCCATTAAGGAAAATTAGATGTCAATATATGTGTTAAAATTGAAAGAATGTTTAAATATATTATTTTATTGAAAGCTAGGAGCATACAGGATGGCAATAAGGCTCTTTGAGAAAACAAAGCCATACATATGTGTGTGTACCTAAACACACACACACACACACCTGAGAGAATGAGAGTGAGGGGGGGCAGACTAGCATTTGCCTTGCTCCTGAAAGAAAGCAGAAGTAATTAATAACAGTGGCTATTTTGGAGAGAAGTAGAGTGGGTAGGATAATGGGTGGTAAGTGTTTACTTTTTAAAAATTTTGTACCCTTTGGTTGTGTTTGAAATTTGTAGCCATGTGCATGGGTGTTTCAGGGATGAGATTATAGGTTAGTCTTCATCTTATTCATTATTTGTCTATATTTTAAAAACTAGCAAATGTTATGACTAAATGTTCTATTTCACATGGTCGATATGCCTGCATCTGCTTAATAGTGTATTAAGTTAAGTAGGAATAGTTAATGTGTGAGTTAATTTTCAACATGAGGTGTTTCCACATGCCCCCTTGAATTATCCATTTAGTTTTCAACACATTTTAATTTTCTTGTTTTTAGTGGAACTTAACGTTCTGGATAAGTCCTCTCCCATGATATTGTGTGCTCCTAGGGGGAAGAGAACATGTCTTAGGCTGTTCATAACCCCCATGGTGCCTGTCTCAGCAGGGAGCATGTCACTGCTGCTGGAGAAATGGCTAGGATTAGCAGGGGGCCTCCTGCTTGACTCTACAGTGCACAATTTCATCCTCTTCCATCTCTCTAATTGTTACTCCCATGGAATGTTAAGAGGAAGTAGACTGCTGCCAGTAAAGTTGAAAGTAAAGGGCATATAAATCTCAAAATGACGGTCTGCATTTTATTTCAGTGCAAGCTCCAGACGTTGCATTTACATTTCAGCACCTCTACCTAAAAAGGGTAATGGTTTGTTGTCACTGATCCCATTAAGAATCTAATGAAAGCTGTGGGACATGATTCAGGAAGTGTGTGTGTGTGTGTGTGTGTGTGTGTGTGTGTGTGTGTGTGTGTGCATACACACACATGAACACAAACATTCAAAACTCTCAGAGTCCAGTGGAGTTTCTGGAAGCCCTCTGTGGACTCTCATATTAAGAAACCCTGGTTTGAAACCTGGCCAGCCATCCTCAACTCCCTTCTTTCTGTCTGCCTCCAAGTGCAAAACTAAAAGCACCAGAGTGTTGATTTCTAGCCTTCCTCACCACCAGGGGGCCTAGGACCCAGTTCCAGACAATAACATGAAAGACATCTGCTAAGGCTCTTCTAGGAAAATGTCTATGCTGGATAAGAAGGAAGAGGCCCTGAAGAGAGTCTCTCTCTCTGCCCTCCTCCACCATGTCTCTCTGTAAAAACCCCCTTCCCACCCCATGATCACCCCCTACTTCTGCCCTTTGGCAGGTACAGTGTGGACAGGAAGCCTAGGGCTATGGCGGCCACCTTTAGGTCATGGACAATGTGCTCAGGAACAGACCCCAGGAAAGTTGGAGGAGATAGATGAAACAGCCTCAGCCCTGTTGACAACATTCTGCCATCTGCCCAACTCTGTGGCCACCATATCCCCATGGCCTGTTGGGCAATGGTCATTGTCTTCACCAGAGCAGCCAGTGTTTCTCACCACTCCTGGTAGCCAAAACATTCCTAGGAGAGATGGAGGTGACACCCTAAGTTATAGTACCAGTGCCAGGGACTCACTCCATTGAAACTTATTTTCTTTGGGGCTGGGGATAGGGACTTAACTAAAAATTACATGTCTTAGCTTCTTGTTCTCAACCTCCTTCCACTTATTTCCTCATAGACAAAAAGGGTTTGTGCCCAGCCTTCCTCATTTTTGTTATTATTTCACTGAGGATGCTAGAGGGGAAGCAAGTCCATGCTGAGTACGAGATTTTTGAAAACAGGTGACTTCCCAGATGAGGCAATTTCCCTTGAGCAAATCTCAGAGCTGAGGACATTTGGATCATCCCACACATACTTTCCTAGGAGGGATATATGGAATCTCCCTGACAAGAAGTGCCCTGTCCTCAAATGGCTTACAGACCAAATACACACTGTAGTGAAAGGGTCATGGGGCATAGTTCGGGTTCAGACTTCACCACTCTCTTAGTTAGAGTTCCCTGGCCACAGACTCCAATATGGAGATTCATGTGCAAGAGGCCAATTGAAGAGAGTGCTCTAGATGCAGGAACGTGAGGATGGGGAGAAACTGGACTCAGGGACACAAGGATGCAGGACTGGACATGGGAGAAATTTGGCAGGGATACAGCTCCAAAGAGGCCTCAGTTGGCCCCATGGAGAGCTCTAGTGCTGAGATGGTCTCACCGAGTTGTTGCATATTCAAGCTAAAGAGTTAGTCCTTTGGGCCCCACATAGACCATTCACTGGAGATCAAAAATCCCAAGGCAGGGTATGATCTTGGACAAAGCAGCTTTCTTTGACTCAAATCAATGCCCACAGAAAGATTCAGCTGTGAGCGATGAGTGGCCACACCCCCAGCAGCTGAGAGAATGAAGACTCCCTGGTGAAGGAGAAACTGGGTGATGCAGGGTCTACTGGAAAGGGGAAGTGACAAAACCTCTGAGTCTCAGTTAACTTATCTGTATAAGGGGATAATTATAACTATTACTGCATATGGTCATTTAAAAAATAAATGAAAGGATGTCTTTGAAAGGGGACCCTGAATACCACAACATATTATGTAATTGTTGGTAATTAAAACATGCAAATGACAAAGGAAATAAAAATGGCAGCACATGGCAGCGTTTAACATGCCCCAGTATGAGTTACTCAGCAAATGCTTGTTACTTGACTCTTAGGTGCCTTGTGTGACTCTAAGTCCTGGGAATAAAGAGACACCTAAGACATGGCCTCCTGAACATGCAAACAGATGTGTGACCAAGTAAGCTAAACATGCAGGGATGGAAAAGACAGTATGATCTTTATTTGTGGAAGATTTTCTCATATGTCTAGAAAGCTCAGAAGAATCAACTGAGATATTATGAGAATCAATATACAAGTTCAGTAACATGGCTGAATCCAAATATCTATATCTTCCCTAGATGCTAGCAAAAACCAACTAGAGTTTATAAAGGAAAAAAAAAATACCACTCTAACCACAACAAAATTCCCAGCAATGTCCTTAAAACAAAGTGCACTGTACATCAGTGCTCACAGAAGTACTACTGCTCACAATAGCCAAAGGGTGGAAGCAACCCAGGTGTCCACCCATGGAAGAATGGATATGCATATGCATATACATACAATGAAATATCAGTCAACTTTAGAAAGGAAGGAAATTCTGATGCATGCTACCACATGGAGGAATCTTGGGGACATTATGCTAAGTGAAATAAGTCAGGCACAAATAATTCCACTTATATGAGGATGCTAGAGTACTCAAATTCATAGAGACAGAAAGCAGAGTGGTGGTTGCCAGGGACTGGAGGCAGGAAAGAATTAGGTTGTTATTGTTTTAATAGATATAGAATTTCAGTTTGTGAAGATCAAAAACTTCTGAGATAAATGGTAATGATGGTTGCACAACAATGTGAATGTGCTTAATGCCATTGAAGTATATACTTAAAATGCAAATTTTATGTTATATATATTTTACCATAATAAAAATGTATTTAAAGAAACATGTGAGTTCTTCATAAAGAATGAGAAAACTTACTAAAAAGAAAGATAAAATTATGTACAGCTAGAGCTTTATAATTTATTTTATGGAAAGAATAAATATAATAAAAATGTTAATTTATTTCAAATTAATCTATAGCTAATTTGAGTTTTATTCAAAATGCATTCAGCCATTTTTAAGATGCAAAGTCATTTGGAAGTATAAACAGAAATAGCTAAGAATATTTTGGAAATACCTGTTGTACCTGATATTAAAATATATTATGGAATTGGGCCGGCCGAGTGGCGCGATGGTTAAGAACTCGCTTGGGATGCCAGAGGGCCCCGGTTCGGATCCCACATATGAGGGCCAGTGACACTGCCCTCTACAGCTAAGATGCTGAACAACAGCTCAACCTGGAGCTGGGCTGCTGTGAGTCGCTGGCGACGGCGTAGGCTGCAGTCCCTGTGGCAGTGGGTTGCCATGGGCTACCATGTGTAGCCAGCAGCCAGCGTGAGCGGCCAGCAGCCAGCGTGAGCGGCCAGCAGCCGCAGTGAGCGGCCGTCCAGAAGCCGGCGACTGATCTGCCTAGCCAGGGAAGAGCGCAATGATGGTGCCAACTTGGGCCAGTGAAGCAGCATCCTCCACAACTAGATTGAAGAACAAAACGACAGCAACTTGTCTGTTCCCCTTCCCCTAATTCCCCAGTACTGTTCCCATCCCCTCAATTACCCAATAAAAATCTTTAAAAAAAAACAAAAAACATATTTTATCTTTAAAAAAAAAAAAATATATATATATATATATTATGGAATTAAAACAATGTAATAATGATACAAAATACACACTGGACACAATCTGGTTTTTGTCTCATGTTTTGGCCATCACTTCAAGAAATCCTACCTGCTGTGGGCTAGGCATGGCTCTGGGAGGCTGAAGACAGAAGCAACAATTGCAAGGTCCTGGGCCGTGCCAGGGACTACAGAGGGGGCATCTACCCCAAGCCAGGAGGGACCACATGCCTGCAGGTGCAATCACAAGCTAGGGGATGTGGGAAGAAGGGGCCCAAGGCAGACATCTCAGACT